AAAAAAAATAGTTGATTGCCATATCTTGCCCGAATTTATCGCCGGCTCTGGCGAACAACTTTAGCCGGGCGAGGATCTCCACAGTCACTGCCGCTTTAACATGACGGAGAGCAAGATCCACGCGAGTCGCTGCGCGAGTGTCTCGGGAGGCGGCCTCCTAGATTTGGAGTCACGGTGGCGGTACCGCGGGAGTGGTTGAGCGGTGACACCGACGAAGACGTTGGGCTGCTGTTTCTGCTAGTGAGTCGATTATAGGCGTGAATCGCTCTCTTCTTCACACCATAGAAAGCGAGATAAAGGTTCGTAGTGAGTAGAAATTGCAGATTCGAGTTTTGGGATAAGGCAAGGGGACTGCGGTGGTGGCAGGGCAGGGGGATTGGAGCGGCGGCGGCGACGTCTGGAAAAGGGCGGAGGAGCAGGATCGGTCAACGAGAAATCTCGAGATGCGCCAGTCATCTGTGCAGAGGAAATTAAATTGTGTGTACGAGAGATAAAGGGGGAGATGGTGATGGTAGTGGGCTGTTCTGGAAATGTCCCATATACCCTTATTAGGGTATATTTTTTTATTCTTTTGGACCGTTGGATTATCACATCTTGTGGTCACGATGTATTTTTATTTCTTTCGTTGAGAACCATTCTCATGGGAGCGCATCCCTATATATATATATATATATATATAGATTTAATGTATTTTGTATTTTCATATTTTATACTTGGTAAATAGAATTCTAACTATGCCCGTGCATACTCGATTTAAAACTCGATCGATAGCTCATCCATAAAAAGATAAAAGAGGGAAAAAAAATAAAATTAGACAGATCTCTCATATAATCCCAAACTTGCTAGAGACCGGACAACATGCCTAGTACCTATACATAATACATGAGCTTAGCTGGATTGATGCAAGTATCATTTATCTGGCTAGCCCTCTTTTGCTTCTTCATAAAAATACAATATGAAATAACCAAAAAAAAAATTGATTTTAAGCTATAAAAAGAACCAAACTTTACTGATTCATGTAGCTTAATTTCCCACTACCACCACAAGTAACGCAAGATCGAGCAGACGAGCACTTTGTGCAGTAGCTCCACTTCTTTGGGAGCCTGCATGTCAATGGAGTGATATAAAAACCGACATAATATTTAGTTAGAACGGTATGATATAACAAATGTGTACAGCATTTAAGTACCCTGCCGTGTATCGAGTTGCCATGTTTTTTGCCATTAATCTTGCTTTTTCAGCACTTTCATCTGACAGCCGTCTTAGCACAAAACCTTCTCCGTTGCATTCGGAACACACACCCGAACCTCCACAGTCCTTGCAAGTTTTTGTAGGGGGCTGATAGTTTGTCATAATTATTATGTTTGTCGCATTTTTTCCCAAAAAAAAAAAACATTAGTAATTATAAGAAACTGGAGCAAAACGGGTGCAGTCGCACGCACATATAACACACCATAACAGGGTGAGCCAAAGAAGCCCAAGTGAAGTTTTTCATCCTATAGGCTTATAAGTTTGATTTATTTTCCCTATACAAACGATGTGGGACAACTCACACGTGATATTCTAACAATACAACAACAACATACCCAGTATATTCCCAACTGGTTGGGGTCTGGAGAGTACCCCTTGTTCAACCAAACTTCCTATTCGATACCTGGAGAGTACGCAGACCTTACCCTTGTAATTATACAAGGAGGTTGTTTCTGTAGCGACCTAATGTGCATTGCGTCGTTTGATATATTTCTTTTCTAGAAACTTCACTAATAGAAGAAGCACTAGAATTTAATTGAGTCATTTTGATCTAGTCCATTATTAGCACTATGCCAGGAGAATTGTCAACAATGACTCTTCCAATTCCATTTGCATGGACAATATTTTAACAATAACTTTGTTTTTAAAATTCTTGAATCATAAATCACATTCATTTACAATTTTAACCTGAAAAAAGTTATAGCAGACCAAGATTATGTGCAGCTATCCGAAACAATTGTTCAACCACTCGTACTTCCCAAATTATGCTAGATGTGTTTTGCTAAGAGAATATGTGTCGACTTAACGTTAACTTTTTTTAAATAGTTTTTTTAAATGATTATCTCTTGGAATATACAAGCAGATGGAGCAAAAAACAAGTCTCGATAAATTGCCGCTTCAGGTATGAATCGAACGATGTTTATTGTTTAATCTCCATTCTGTAGACCTAAAGAAGCATACATTTACCTCAATAACTTGAGAAGCTTTAGTTCTTTCTGCTAGAAATGTAGCAGCTGTGCCAACAATCACTGCAGCAACTGCAATGGAGGCAGCTGTTTCTGGCAATGAACGTATAATTCTCACAGTACATATTTTCACTCGATTTGCGGATAGAGATCCAATATCGACTCTGGATTTGAAATTTCTAGCTGATTAAGAAAAAAAGGTGATACCTATATCAAATTTTGTTTCGAACACAAAATTCAACATGAGAATAACCGTACGAGATGATCACCACAAGAAATTTGAAATCGGTAATTACTATCAACTAACGATACCAAAAGAAGAACTAATTGGCGAGAGACATTTCTACTTCTTTCCCTCATTAAATTCAAATTACAAGTTATAAACATGAGACTGAAAATGAAAGCCCCTTTATCAAAACAATCAT